CCAGTGCCGTCCTGAGGCAGTCCTCTATTTGGGAATCGCCGAGTGTGTGTACTGGTCCAAGACGCTTCGATTTCCTTGAGAACAGTTTCGAAGGTCTAAGGAGGGTTTGGATCTGAAATATCATGGATTTCATATCCTTCAAGATAGGTAAACGGATGCGGAAAGGTCAGAAAAAGTACGAGACAGGCGACTTGTCAAAAATAGACGCCAGTCTTATGAACCGGTGAACGTGATCTTTGAATTGCTCAATTAATACATTAGTCAATTCTCATTCTGATGAAGATACAGGTGCACCTAAAGACATACTTTTCGATGACGAGTCAGGCCAGCCTGAGAACCTCCTAGATCAGTTCAAAAGTTCACCTGGCGAGTTGAGCGACGACTTGCTCCAAGCATGCCTATGGAACTTCGCATAATTCGTGCAGTTGAAAAGTTGAGGTCGATTTCTTGATTTCCGGATAGTTGGCTCATGAATGATTGACAAGGGAGGGTCGGAATATAGTATACTGGCTTGCGCCTCTCATGTAATTCGCGAGTCTACAGGTAATTTCTGAAAGGAATGAATTTCAGTCGGAACCAATGTTATTGCATAATATAACATAGAGTATATGTTTAATTACGGGCTGAGGGTCCCGGATAATCCGTTGGATCCATCTCTGTGAACAGACGTTCCACCTAACCAGCCTAGGCACAAAGGCACTTCAAATATTTCCATTTTGACCTTCAGCCCTTGAAATCACTCTCTTTTATTCTTCATCCCGTTCTGGAGGTAGAAAGGAGTAGAAATGGTACCAGCCGTACTAAAATCAAGAGATCAAATCGCAATCCTAAGGATATGTGACATACACTCACCCATTTTGCCATGATAGTACTACCATCAAATCGAAAATCAAAGCCCAATGGGATGTGCGGTGCAGTGAACACTCTATACGGCAAACTGGATTTAACCTTCAATCCGACCTGGCTGTCTTCCCATATTGTTTCCTCACGAACAATAGTCCCACGAGACTTTCCCTCGCGCTCGAGGGCGGTATCGTGATATATTGGTCCAGGGTTGAAATCCAGAAGGAGGAGGCAGGAAGATAAACCGGAATCTGTGTCGGAGGCGGTAGGTAATCCCCAGGCTATCATGCGAGATCCAAATATGCTACGGTTCCCAATTGGAGTAATGGACTGTTGAGGAAGCCACCTAGTGACAGATGGACCCCATTCCTCCCAGTCAAATACATCCCGACCTGGATGCTTTTCCAACAAAGATTTGTACATATTCTGGAATCTATGCAAAGAAAGAACGATGCAGGACCATGAAGAGGTCGGATCCTCCTCTAATTTGAAGTTGACCCCGAGAATATCCACTGAAGGATCAGGAATGAGAAGTTTTGCGGAGGACGATTGGCGCTTGTCGCCAAACCGAGATTCTGGACGCTTCAGGAATAACACTCGAAATGGGAATTGGAAGGGAAAGCGACATTTGCAGATGATTTGTTGGCGCGAGAATGAATACACGGCAAGAGTCGTCCCATGGTCCTCTTCGCCATTGAAGAGGAGAAGGGCTTCATCTCGTGATAGGAACGTCATGTCAGTCATTCGCGTATACGGCTATGGCACGAATCAATACGAGGGATAATCGACATAATAATAAAATCTCACCATAATGAACTTGCATGTCCTACAGTCAATGACCAGTCCAGCACCCAAACGTTTCTCTGTCCATGCCTCCCAGAATGAAAAAGCCACAAAGGTTTTCATATGAAACAGTATTACAATTACTCCAAACAGGGAATTCGGCTCTCGACATGTCTATATACGGAACTGCTGACTCAGGATGCACTTCATTGGTCGAGATTGTACGAAAGTGTATCCTTCTGCATCTATTGCACAGT